TATATATAAAGTGTAGCTGGGAGTTGTAGTCCTCTATAACTGGTACCATTCTGCATTTTTGGATAGAGGACTACAACTCCCAGCTACACTTTATAAATAAATGCAGAATGATAGCGGCTATAGAGGACTATAACTTCCAGCAACACTTTATACAAAAATGCAGAATGGCACCAGCTATAGAGGACTACAACTCCCAGCAACACTTTATACAGGAAAAACCTAATCACCAAATAGAAAAACAGTAAAGAACTGCCCCCAACTTCCTATGGCATCAGTATGATGTCACATTCCCGCCAGATAATTAAAATAATAAACCTAAACAATCATGAAAGGGAATGTTTTCCAACTATCCTAAAGAATAGACTGGAGTACCTGCTTGCAGAGCTCAAATCACGTCCATGACCCTTTGCAGATCGGTCTCCCCCTCCTGGGAAATAGCAGCGTGGCGATCAAAGGAGGGATTACAGCACCCGGCCGTTAGTTCAGGCCGACTTGTGCTGCCATGGGAACAGGGACGCCTATAGCTAGATGCCGGGCCACTAAGTTCGAGCTCATGGTCCCGTCTGCCTGCACATGAGCAGTAGAGAGCGGGTATCCATGGTGACAGGAGACGCTGTCTTCTAATAGACACGTCTCCTGTCACCTGTCTAAACAAAGACACAGCAGCCGGAGTCGATCGTAGGAGGAAGAAGCAAGAGGAAACTGAAAGTACAGGAGAGAAGAGAGAAGGGAGAGAGCGGATGGATCTCGTGTCTGGCTCGCCCCCACTTTATTTCCACTCGCCAAATGCGAGCAAGCGAGTGGAAATTTTGAGCCAAGCCCTATATTATAAGACACTGTCTATGTTTGTTTCTGCTTAAGCTTTAGTTAATGATAACATTTAGAAAAAAAAATTAAATGCCATACTTTGGTTAACTATTTATTACATGAAAGGCCACCCTTGTCCTCCAAATGACAAGGGTTGCCTTTCTTACTGCTCCAGTCCAAACACCACTTAGTAGGAGGACAGGGAGTGAAGGGATGAAACAGTGGCATGAGTGCCAGTGGAGGGTAATGTCTCCCAGCCTTTAAACAGATTTAGTTCTCCAAACACTGTACATTGGAGAACCTTAGCAGACCTAGCACAGAAATCCCTAGGCGAGACACCAAACTTCCTGTGAGATCCAAGCCCAATCCTGGCTTCTCTGTCACCTCCAGTAGAAGAAGTTCCTCCCTGGCCCTTCATCGCAAGCATAGCTTCCCCCTTCACTGGCAGGACAGCTGCAGATCCCGACTGGGTCTCCATTCCTGGCCATCTGCAGGCTGCAGGCCTAGTCAGAAAGCACATCACTTTATGCACCCTCCCCTTAGCAGGGCCCCGAATAATTAGGTCCTCCCCAGCATGCACCTTTGGCCATGAACCTCCTAGTTATTGGCTAGGGAGACACACCTATTCATAATATTCGATTATTGGACGTTCTGTTCTAATTCAGGTAGCAGCAGTTAGATACAAACAATAACAGAGAGCTTAGGAGAAACCAAATAGGCACAGAATATCAAATCAGCTTAGACTAGCTATGGCTCAGCAGACTAACCTTAGGGAGTCATTCTGCTTAGGAGCAGGTGGCTACACATTGTTATAATACCTTGTTTTAGCAAACTGTATGATTTAACAAGTTCCAGGGTATCATATCCTCTTATGTTTCACATCACATCACATGAAATATGTTGATATTTCATGTGATGTAAATTTTAGATCTATTTTTAAATAACAGAAACTCAAAGGTGATTTGAATGCTAACAGCAGACATTCTTCATCCTCAATACAACATTACATAAAGTGCTCAAAGCTTCAGCAGGCTATACAGTGTAACTCAGTCACTTCTCCAGGTTACTACATTCTACTGGAAGGCTAATCAGGTTTTTTATTCTACATTGCAGATATGTCTTCCTTTGTGACAAGATTGGTGGTAGGCCTTTCAGGCACCGAGAGCATGAAAGGCCCTTTTCCCTGCCCTCATGTGACAAGATGGGAGCAAGGACAGTTGCTAGCCTTGTGTATTAGCTTCAAGTTGTATCTCTGCAGCTTACACACGGCTTTCTCTCTTCACCATTGATGTCTAAACAGAGTGGTGGAGGATTAAAAGGAAGGTAAGTATTGATAGCTGGGGATGGAAGCAATTAAACGAATGCTGGATATGGCCGATTTGTTTTTAGACTTTAAATACACTTACCTGCTAACATTAATGCACGAACACAGTCTGTTCTGCCTTGAATTGATGCTTTCATTAATGCTGTAAATCCATGGGTATTTCTTTTTTCAAGATCCAAACCAGGATAATAATTTAACAAAAAGTTTGTGATTGTTATGTGCCCTGTAAAACAAAATACTTTATCAACCCTGGAAAATGTTTTTTTTTTTAATAATAACAATATTAAAGACTAGATCGTGCTTTGCCTGGTACTGAAATAAGTTTAATTTAGGCTGTTTACTACATTTTTGTTGATGAGTGGCAATTGCTACAGTATTGTTTTTATATTTGCATTATTGAAGATTATGGCTATCTGCTGTGATGTCATGTGCTTGCCAAGAGCAGATGAAAGCATGCAATGGTCCTCCTGTGTGATTGCTATAGATTTGTATGGGCAGGCATGCTTTTGAAGTGTTTGGAGAGTAGAGAGTGCAGTGTAATTAAAGAGGGAGGTAAAGGGATGGCAGAACCAAGTCTTGAATAACATCAAAGAAATAGCCCCTATATTGATCCATGTCTTTTCTTTAGCCTCCCCCCTACTCACTGAAATTCGAAAAACATGTATATTATGGGGTTTATATGAGACACATAGATCTATTTAGTCCTTACAAACACAATTTATTTCATGCACCTTAAAACCAAATTAAACCAAATTAAAACCAAAAAAACCAGCATAAAAATGAATAAAACTCAATTATTTCCCCTTATGTGGTAGTACATTGCCTATTAGAACTACAGCCTTTACAATATCACAATGTCTTGCTTGTTTTATACTTACCTAACCATACAGTCACAATTAATTGTATTATATCTCCAAAGGCATGTAGTTTCACTTTTTCAACGCTTCATCAGGGGAATATACAGTAGGCAACTTCCCAGCCAAAAGATGCGGCTGGCGTGAGTTGGCAAGAAGAGGATCACCCTCTTGACTCACTATGTCTTTTATGGGACCACAGGAGGGTGATGATCCAAGAGGAGGAAATGAGCCACCTAAATACTTATAATCCACCAATCCTTGGTACTGGTCTCTTTCTCTTATACACATCCAAGGTGTCTTATACACTGGGGGTACCCTCCTCATGTGTCCCTCACAGTAGCTTGCCACGGTCCAAGTAGCTGCGTGGAGTAAGGCTCCATTTACACATGAGCGGTTTTCCATGCGTATTTGTATGCGGGGAAATGCACTAAATGTAAAAAACAATGCATTCTAATGTGAGCTTAAAATCATGAGTCACAAAGCTATGTCTATCTGACAACCCGGGTTGATTTGCTCGAATACAAGATAAAACGGACATACATTGCTCATATGTTGCTCCTTGCTGACATTTATGGCTCTTTATGCTACAGCTGAAATATACTGCCCCCTGGTGTAGCATGTCGTCTCCCACTGCCAGTCTGCCATTGCAGATTTGTTCCTGCTGTGCTAACATCATTCTATATTCAGCTGCTTAAGGGACAATTAAACCCTCAAATTTTTTTGCATATATCTACTGCTAGCAAGCAGTAGATGAATGCAAAAACATATATAAAAACATTTTTAACAAAAAGATTGAAACTTACCTGTGTTTCCGCTGAACGCTCCTATCCGAAGATCTGAAGATTCTCGAGCGGCTGCAAAGGATCATGGGGCAGGTTCATGCGCAGTAGAGATCTTCAGTCGGGAGAAGAGGAGAGACACGGGGTAAGCCAATGCAGGCAACCCGGCAGCGTGCACTCGCACAGACTCCGTGGGACAGGAGGAGAGAGGCAGAGGCGGCTCCCTAATTAGGCGAGTTAGGTGGTCGCCTAAGGCCTCGCGTTCACGCGGGCCTCGTGGCCGCCTACCTCGCCTCTGCAGCTTCAACTAACCTGACGCTGGTCAGTCCGCCCCTGGGAGCAGTGATTTCCCGACGGGGAGAATAGGGCGCCGCCGCGCCGGCAATTCCCCCACAGCCTCTGCACCGGAACCTACCTCCCCCTTCCTGCAGCTGTCAGAGTGAGGGAGAAGCCACGTAGCGGGTCCTCTGGCGCGGCTTCTCCCGATGGTGCTGGCGGAACTATTTCCGCCAGTTCTTACAGCCTCTCTTGCAGAGACAGCAGAGAGCCCGCCCGCAAGCCCAGCGTGTGGTGGAGAGTGGAGAGCAGCTATCAGCGCAGCAACAAGCGATGGCATCAGAGGAGGGCAAGGAAGAGGCTGGTACCGGCGGAGGGACACAGGGTGTTCAGGTTAGTGAAGCACCCCTCTTTTATTTTTTTTCTTTAACATTTTATTTATTTCTGAATTATTATTTTTTTTCACATAAAAAATACAGGGTAGCAAAAAAGAAGGAATTTACAGTGTCTAAGGGCTTGTTCACACCAATTGCGATGCGTTCCAGAGCGTTAGCTGCTGGAACGCTCCGCAATCGCTCACTAAACTTCCCCCTGCGTTCAGGGACCGGAGGAGGCATGGTGGTGCATTAAATTCAATGGCACTGCTTTGAAAAAAAAAATAGAGCAAGCAGCTTTTTTTGCATTTGCAGTGGTACAGAACGCGGGCAAAGTTTTGCCATGCACTCGACCGCACTACGAGAGGGGGGACGTGGCTGCAGTGCAATTGACCTCAATGCACCGCCATGCCCCCTCCCACCCCAGAAGGCAGGGGGAAGTTTTGTGAGCGATTATGGTGTGTTCCAGCAGCTACCGCTCTGGAACGCACCCTAATTGGTGTGACCAAGCCCTAAGGGCCCAGTCCAACCATAAAGAGTGCGTTGCAGTGCGTTCGGCCTATGGAATGCACTGGAACGCAACCCAGTTGGCTCACTCTGTTTTGGGGCAGGAGGGGCGTGGTGGTGCACGCAGCCATGACACCGCATGACATGACACCGCAGCCATGCCCCCCACCCGCAGTGCGATCGCCGGCACCCAAACCTGTGACACATTAGTGCATGCGTTCCGCTCGAGTGCGATCATCAAAAATGCTGCAGATTGCACTGGACCAGAACGCAGGCACTAATGTGTCACACGTTTGGGTGCTGGCAATCGCACATAGGGGGCATGGCTGCTGTGCCATTGCGTGATTGCGGTGCCATTGAGTTCAATCCACCGCCACGCCCCCTCCTGCCCCAAAACAGTGACCTGGCTGGGTTGGTAACGGATCATGTAAGTGATAAAAGGCACCCAGGACAGGGTGACACGGCCGCTTCTAAAACCGACATCTGGGTACAATTTACAGTGTTTATAGAAAGTATTTAGCCCCCTCTGGCAGTTTGAATGATCTTTTTTTGTTTGTTTTTTTCATCATGCATTTTTCTATTTTAAAAGCACCTCTCTTTATAAAATAGAAAAATGCATGCTCGTAAAAAAACAAAAACAATCATTCTATTTTTCAAATACTGTTGTCATTGTTCACATCGGCTGCTAAAACTTTTCTATGTAACAAATCCAGCTGCCCTCTAGCAGTGAGCAGATCCTTCTAAATACCAGACTGCTGTCACATATAACCAATGCCATGCCACCCCATACTGTGTTATAGAAAAGCAGGATTTATTGCGTTCTTTACTACTGAACTGTGCGTTCCTTACATCTGACCTCTGCGCTCTGTGCGTTCCTTACATCTGACCTCTGCACGCTGTACGTTCCTTACATCTGACGTCTGCGCTCTGTGCGTTCCATACATCTGACCTCTGCGATCTGTGCGTTCCTTACATCTGACCTCTGCGCTCTGTGCGTTCCTTACATCTAACCTCTGCATTCTGTGCGTTCCTTACATCTGACCTCTGTGCGTTCCTTACATCTGACCTCTGTGCGTTCCTTAGATCTGACCTCTGCACTCTGTGCGTTCCTTAGATCTGACCTCTGCACTCTGTTCATTTCTTAAATCTGACCTCTGCGCTCTGTGCGTTCTTTAAATCTGACCTCTGCGCTCTGTGCGTTCCTTAGATCTGACCTCTGCACTCTGTGCGTTCCTTAGATCTGACCTCTGCACTCTGTCCATTTCGTAAATCTGACCTCTGCACTCTGTGCGTTCCTTAGATCTGACCTCTGCACTCTGTGCATTTCGTAAATCTGACCTCTGCACTCTGTGCGTTCTTTAAATCTGACCTCTGCACTCTGTGCGTTCCTTACATCTGACCTCTGCACCCGGTGCGTTCCTTACTTCTGACCTCGGCACCCTGTGCATTCCTTACTTCTGACCTCTGCACCCTGTGCGTTCCTTACTTCTGACCTCTGCACTCTGTGAGTTCCTTACATCTGACCTCTGCACCCTGTGCGTTCCTTACTTCTGACCTCTGCGCCCTGTGCGTTCATTACATCTGACCTCTGCGCTCTGTGCGTTCCTTACATCTGACCTCTGCGTTCTGTGCGTTCCTTACATCTGGCCTCTGCACTCTGTGCGTTCTTTAAATCTGACCTTTGCACTCTGTGCGTTCTTTAGATCTGACCTCTGCACTCTGTACGTCCCTTACATTCTAGCTCTAGGAGCTGTAAATTCCTGGCTGCGGGTATTAAACACTAGTCTTATAACATGCAATATGTATACAGGTAATTTTTTATTATTGTTTGCATTTTTTTCATGATGGGTGTAAGTGGGGGGCCTCACGTTTGAGTTTCGCCTAAGGCCTCACAAAGTCTAGAGCCGCCTCTGGAGACAGGAGTATGTGGTGGATCAGAGACCAGCCTGAAAACTACTGGAAAGAAGATGATCGTAGGTATCAAGTGGTATCATTTAAGGTAAGTTCTTAAACAGCTTTTTTTGCATTTGCAGTGGTACAGAACGCGGGCAAAGTTTTGCCATGCACTCGACCGCACTACGAGAGGGGGGACGTGGCTGCAGTGCAATTGACCTCAATGCACCGCCATGCCCCCTCCCACCCCAGAAGGCAGGGGGAAGTTTTGTGAGCGATTATGGTGTGTTCCAGCAGCTACCGCTCTGGAACGCACCCTAATTGGTGTGACCAAGCCCTAAGGGCCCAGTCCAACCATAAAGAGTGCGTTGCAGTGCGTTCGGCCTATGGAATGCACTGGAACGCAACCCAGTTGGCTCACTCTGTTTTGGGGCAGGAGGGGCGTGGTGGTGCACGCAGCCATGACACCGCATGACATGACACCGCAGCCATGCCCCCCACCCGCAGTGCGATCGCCGGCACCCAAACCTGTGACAC